AGTGTTAATTTCAAAATGGCTTTGAAAAAAGCAAACATTTTACAACATACTTAAAGCTTTTTCGTCTGACACTCCTCAGAGCATAAAACGTCAGAATAGGTTCCGAAAAAACACGTTTGAAAAATATATACCCAGTTGTGGATCGAAATAGGCCAATCAGAAAAACGCAAGCAAAAGACCGGTATAGTTGACCAATCAGTGCCGCGAGCCTAAAGAAAGATTACCAGTGGAGTCCAAGAGAGAAAACGAACTCCTTTTGTCTACACAATGGCGGCTTTTTCGTTTTTATGTAGATTGACTCCAAAACTGCTAGATGGAAGGACGACCGGGCTCTGCCAATTATCCGAAACATGTCGTCATTATAGAGTTTTGCACAATCTGGGTTGTCTAAAAATATATTCAAAACATTGCATCAAGGATTCTTTTACGTTCGCTGAGTTCATGCAAAACTTGAACATCGAAAACGAAACATCTTTCATGTGTTCTTTTGACATTAGTAGTCTTTTCACAAATGTTCCTTTGAGTGAGACCATCAAAATATGTGCCGACGCTTTGTACCGGAGCGAGCTTAATAGCCCACCATTCCCAGAGGAAGTATTCATTGAACTGATGGAAACTGCAACACGTTCAGTTGAATTCGGTTTTAACAATGAAATGTACCAACAAAAGGATGGTGTCGCTATGGGTAGCCCTCTGGGACCTGCCTTGGCCAATATCTTTGTTGGCTTTCATGAAGAGCGTTTGTTCGACTACGACCAAAAGCCAGGTGTCTATTTTCGGTATGTGGATGACACATATGCCATTTTCAAAACAGAGGCTGAGTGTGATATTTTTCTAAAACACCTAAATAGCCTACACCCAGCCCTCCAGTTTACGTTTGAAAAGGAAGAAAATGATTCCTTACCATTTTAGATGTTTTGGTCGAAAAGTCTAACACTGGATTTCTTACCAGTGTATATCGCAAGCCTACTTTTACCGGTCAGTACATACGCTGGAATTCATTTTGCCCAAAACAACGCAAAGTCAACCTTGTCAAAACATTAGTACATAGGGCACTTATGATCTGCTCGAAATCTAAACTGCACGCTGAACTGGAAAAAACTCAAAACGATCTTCTTGGACAACGGCTATCCTGAAGACGTCATTTTATCTTATACTAAGGAGAAGATCGCAAGTTTTTCGGCTGTTCAAAAGTTTGGTCCGCAAAAGTGCCCAGTTTATTTGAAACTACCATGGATTGGTAACACTTCCTTGCGATTCGAGAATCAGATTAGGCAAGCCATAACCAATTGTTTCTTTGCTGTCAATCCTCGGATTGTTTACAGCACTAGGAGAGCCCTTCCATCCATTCAAAAGGATTGCGTCCCTACCAAACAAAAAAGTTCCGTCATTTATGAATTTACGTGCCAGTGTGATTCTGGCTACGTAGGGCGCACAACCCAAAGATTGGGGATAGGATAAAACAGCATGTTCCTTCCAACATACGAAACAAAACTGCCCCTCAAAGAGAACAGCCTCCTCGATCTTGTAGGTCTAGAAACACTGTTAAAACAAGTGATTCTGCCATTGGTCAACATCTTTTAGACAACCCAGATTGTGCAAAACTCTATAATGACGACATGTTTCGGATAATTGGCAGAGCCCGGTCGTCCTTCCATCTAGCAGTTTTGGAGTCAATCTACATAAAAACGAATAAGCCGCCATTGTGTAGACAAAAGGAGTTCGTTTTCTCTCTTGGACTCCATTGGTAATTTTTCTTTAGGCTCGCGGCACTGATTGGTCAACTATACCGGTCTTGTGCTTGCGTTTTTCTGATTGGCCTTTTTCGATCCACAACTGGGTATATATTTTTTCATCGTGTTTTTTCGGAACCTATTCTGACGTTTTATGCTCTGAGGAGTGTCAGACGAAAAAGCTTTAAGTATGTTGTAAAATGTTTGCTTTTTTTAAAGCCATTTTCAAATTCTGTACCGCAAAAAAATTGTTCACAATTTGTTCCCCTCCTCTGCTCATATACAGTCAAATATCATAGCTACGAAATCAACTTACATCAACATTCCTGACAGTAAACATCCGTTCAATGCTGCCACCGTTGCTCTCCTCTGATTGGTGGTTTACTAAAACACCGCCATATTCCCGAGCTGTGTGCAGTGGAGGCCAAAAGATGGGAAGGTCCTAAACAATAACATGATCGAAAGATGCAAAATATAAAATGGACTAGGAAGATGAACGTCAAAACCTTCCGTTAAGGGTGAAAAGGGAAAATAAATGACGATTCTGACCATGTCGATACTATTTATATCACGTTAATAGATTGGAAAATTACGTCAAGATGAAAGTAATGTATTTTGGGTACATTTGCCAGCCCAATACATTATCCGAGCTAATAAATACAATATCAATCAAAATTTTGATTATTCCAAGTTCCTAAGCTGGAAAACGTATGCTACCTGTGCAAGACATACATCAAGGTGAATAAGCAAAGGGTAAGCTAGCATTTCTTGAAAAGGAAAAGGATAACATAACAAGAAAATGTGTTGGCTGCCAAGAAACTAATTGGCAAAAAATGCAATCTAAAAATCTCATTAAAATCCTCAAACTAACCATGCTTCCATGAATAGTGTTGCTAAGAAGGACCGCCATAGACACTTCTGTCTGCTGAATCATTAGCCAGAAATCGTCAATAGTCTCTGGCAGTGGGTGCTGTGTCGCGATGAAGGCGTTGAGTTTACTATAGCCCTGAAAGAAGAATCAGATTTTGTATAACAAATTAGAAAAATTTCTCTTGTAGCTGAGCATGGCTTATTGTAAGAATATCGTCATTAAGAAACAACATGGAACATTTCATGCATGTTTTGTCAGGGAAAGAGGAGAGGGGAGACTCCATTCATTTAGAGTAATGGTGTTTTCCATGTCCATGCTCGTGCTCGGACCTATTTGAGGCTAAACTATCATGCTTTCAGAGAAGCTCAATTATAGAAAGTTTGCGGCGATAGAAGTGAAAGATGTTTATCCTTCAGAATTCAGCTAACCAACTGCAGTTTGTTGAAGTGTTTAACCAACATGCTTCCCATTCTACACTAAAAAATATTAAAAGCAGCAATGTTGTGGAGGATGGCATTTCTCATTACCATTCTTTATTCTGTGGCTCAATTGAATACTCTGTTTATGCTTTTTAGCCGGATGGGAAGATTGAACGAAAAATGCTATCTCTGTTACACTCCGAAATCGAAGCTCGACTCTAAGCACCTGACATATATAAATGTCAATCAAAAAACATACATTCTGCCAAATTCTATCATTAAGATATCGGTTCAGGTATATTCATTTAAGTTATGAATTCATCATTTTTGTATGTAATTGTACATTTTGATTTAACTTTAGTTGGAAGACAAAATATCTTGGTGTTCAAATTGACAATAGTTTCGATTAGAAAGAGCACATTAAATTGATATCTGACAAGGAACTAGAGCAATAGGCCTTTTAAATTGCGCAAAAAAAATTTCTTCCTCTAAATTCCTTAACTGAAAAGATTTCTAAACTCTTTACGCTGGCATTATTGTACCCCAGCTCCGCTACTGTTGCTGTATGGGGCTGTTGTGGCATTACTGAAATCTCAAAACTTCAAAAGCTTCAAAACAGAGCTGCTAGGATCGTAACGAATAACAGTTTTGATGTCTCTAGCAAACCCCTTATTAAGAATCTAGGCGGGAAAACAGTCAATGGCATGATTAAACATGATAGTAGGACGATTGTGTCGATATCTTAAAAAAAATTCTTGCCTCAAACACTGAAATTCGGGAAATTGAGCAGGCGTGATGTTAACAAACAAGAGAAGACCCTGTAAATTATAGAGGCTTCTTTGTTGGTTGACACTGGGTCTTAAAATATTGAAATGAAAAATGAAATATTGCTTGAATAGATGATTCTCTTTCCCTCTTTTCAACTGGTCTAGAAACGCTTCTTGCAATAATGTTGATGCTGAATTGGACCTGAAATGGATTTGATGCAAAACTGCTTTAAGAAAATGAATCTTACATTTACGTAAGTGGCATTTATGTAGTCAGAACCACTGTTGTTTTCATAAATTGCCTGCTTCAAAACCACACGATGCACATCATCTGAAAGGAGACGAGAAAACATTAGGTATACCCGATGAGAATCAATTGTTTGCATCATGATATTGCCAATAAATACTTTGGACGAGGAACCAATAAACCCTTTTAAAATGAGGATCAGATAAGGTTGCTAAATGTATGGCTTAAAACAAAGTGATGATGTTCAATTGTTATAAATCAGTTAAAACTTTATATAGACAGTCTATAAAGAGGCTTGAGAGAGGCCGGAGGTGTTAAAGAACTACGCTGGTTTAGCTTGGCTGATAGAATTAAAAACGGAGTAATAATACAGAAATTTATAAGCAAAAGAGCTTTTGCATATGTAGTTATCGGTTATTGTAGAATATCATATCGATGTTATCGATGATATGAATATCATATGAAGACTCGTCATCATATTTATCATCATACCTTTTTCTAATCTTCTTTTTTACCGTTCAAATATATAAACGATGAAAATATGTCAGCAATCTTCTTTCATTCAAGAAAAATATATAGAAGCTCAAAGTGCTACAGAAAGTCACAATACATATGCAAAATTTCTTGCAAGCAAACTCAAAATCATTATTGTGTTGGCTTTGTTACACAGCATCAACTTCTAATCAACGTACTTGGTATGATTTCTGTAATTCTGTTTTTTTTTATGTTGTTTCCTTCACTTCCAGCTCTAGCATTTGCATCATTAAAGAATTTAGTTGTCCAGGAAAGTCGCTAAAACAAACAGAAGAATCAAGTGGGAAAGAAAAGAGCTGGGTGGAGTCAACCATAGCAATCAACGGGGGAGATCAAAACTAAGCATAATGTGAAAGCTTTCTTCCGTCCTTTCTCTATAAACCCACTTTCAAATAGAAACACCCCCATTTAAAGAAGAAGATGAAAATAAGCCGCTTTCCATCAATAGCAAGTTGTCAACGAAGGATGCTGATATAACATGAATTTGCAGCATCACGCCACAAGCAAATTACCCCATATAAAGACGACATTTTTACCAGCATTAGATCCTGAAACGTTTATTACACAGTTACAGCAATAGAACTTTTACATTAAAGGAAGTCCCCGATTTACCCTTTGCAAAAATGAAGCAAAACTAC